TTCTTCTAAGTTCACACATAACTCTCTCTTTTTCCCCAACCCAGTCACTGCCTTTTTCTGATGCCCAGTCATTAGGAAAGTGGACCGTGTGAAATGTGACCCTCACTCACTGACACAGTGAGGTTAGGTCTTTCTATTGCTCGATCACCAGGAGAATGTGTCCATCTGGTGAACTGGGGGTTGGGGGCCTGGCAGGATGTCAGCAGATCTGGCCTCCTACAGTCCCTGGGGCTGGCAGCCTTGGCCCCGTGGAGCAGGGAGGCTACGAGACAACTCCCCCTGCACACAGGAGTTACTGTCTCCAACCCGCCTTCCTGGAGGCACCGTCAGCACCCGGTGTCCCTCACCTCAACTCAGGAAGCAAGAATGCTGTGTCCTTCCTCCTCTTCACTCCCTCTGCTGCCTCCCTAAAGCTCCCAGCACACATGGTGAGGTGGTGCACTCCCAACCCAAACCCCTCCTCCAGCCATACTGGAGATGCATCCCCTTGCCTTGCTACCACCAACATTTTGAAGCCTCTGGACACCATATATAAGCACTGCTGACCTTATGTCAGAAAATCCTACACTCTTCACTGTAGAAAAAGTACACATGAATTAATTTCTCTAACTCTTAAGAAATAGGGTAGGACTCATATACAAGGGGCTTTAAAGCTTGCGTTCAGGTGCAGCCTTGCGTTTTATACTCTCAACTGTTTAGAACTAGATTCTAAATAATTCTATTAGCCACATATTCTAATAATTCTATTAGCCACATACTAAGAATGGAAGTTGTTTTTGTAATTTTGCTTGGGATTTAAGACCAAAGAACTCTGAAAATTGGAAGGAATGCCATGTGTATTCTCCTCTCAACACATTTCAAGGGATGTGTTGGTCTCAACACATTTCAAGGGATTCACTCAAAGGAAAAGGAAACAATTCTCAAGTAGAAGGTAATTTTTCTACTTTTCTGTTTGATAGTTTTTGTTTTGGAAGGCCTCTGTGTCTATCAGCTATGCAGCTGTATTTGTGGCCTGAACGCAGCTGTCTAAACCCTGAGGACAGCTGGAATAGTAATATGGGAATTCTCTCCCTGAAACTGCAGAAATGACAGGGCCTCTCTCATGGTAGGCACTAAACTACTCTTCACCACACTGAACAGAGGCAGTTGGGCACATGAAAATCAAACCTCTCTCCTCAATTTTTGTCAGTGGTTATGACCACAGTAGTTGTCATTTTCACTGAATCCATTTAAATCATGATTTATGTTTCTGAATAGGATAACTCAATTTAATCAGCTTTTTTTAATATTAAAAAGTACATTTTTGTTTTGACATAACCTGATTACATATTCTTCAAAATTTAGATGAGTATGGATTTTAGTTATAAAGATGTACCTTATAACTTGTATGTTTGAAGCAGTGATTTATGGAAATCATACTCAAAATTATATCCCTCAAGAGTTCTAGGAATTCAGTGCCAAAAAAGAAGATTTTAATATTTCCTTTGTACTTTAAAGGCTTTTCCTTCTTTTATCTTTGGCCTCTCTTTGCTTGCCTGGAATACTTCATTCTTAAGAATTATCTGTTCACTTCTCTGCTTGAAACTTTTTTGGAGAGAAAGCCAGGAAATGATTGTCTTATGCCTATGGTTATTAATAAGCATGGTTTCCACAGACGAAATCCCTCGACAGAGAAGAGAAACCATGGTTTCTGGCATGTACAGTAAGGCTTTTTTCCTTTGACAGATGCTGTACCAAAATGGCTTTTACTGGCTCTCATTACCCTCTAATCTGGTCATGTGTCCTTCACTCACGTGGCAGGCCTCTGCAGTCACCATTTCCAGAAGGCCTACTATAAGCCAGGCATTGGGTTGGACAGAGATGAGCGCTGTGACCTGACAAAGCTGACCGTTCAATAGGGAACAGAGCTGTTACACAGACATACAAATGACCACACACTGTAATGATAGCTTTGAAGAAGCACAGCACTGACAGGAAACCCCATTTGGAGAAAAGAGCTCAAGGAAGATCTCTCCAGGAAGTGACAATGCTTTCATATGACTTACTCATGAAACTTTTTAGAAAGGTTCACACAAATCTATTTTCTCAAGTATTATATCAATTCCAAGGTAAGGTGGGATGTGAGAAAGAAAAGGCCCTGGACCCAGACAGCTCTTACTAGAATCCCTACTTCAACTGCAGTGCCTTGTGCAGCTCATGGGGAGGAATGTGGCTCCCACACCAGACTGTTACATTGGGTAAGAATAACATATACAAAATATTCAGGATGTGGTGGAAGTTCAATAAACTACAGGTATTCATTTAGAATTGATGCTTAACCATGTTTGAACTTTCATGTCAAAATAAAGCCTATTTTTCAGAGTCCTATGTTTACAAAAATGTTGAGCTAAAAGAAAAACCTCACCAAGTCCATTTAAAAAAGTGTGAGGTTTGTGATTTTTCCTTACTCTACTGGCCAACTGGTAACATTTCTTTATGCAGTGGAGGCAGCCCAGTCTAGATATATCGTGTCAGATCCACAGCACAGTCAAAAAGAAGACTTGGTGCATGCACTCAATAGCTTTCCACTAGCATTAGAAAAAGATTCTGAATTGGAGCTTTTCAAACAGTGAACTCCCCTAAGGCAGATAAGTGTTTTTCAGGTCATACACTGCTTGACTGAGGCGGAGCAGGCAGAGCCCTTTAGGGGCAGCTCCAATTTACTCTGTGGTCCAAGACACATTTCCCACGCTTATTTAGCTTTCCTTATTCCTGACTCTCCTGGTACCTACAGACATACACAGGACTGGGCCAGTCACATTTGCTTAGCCCTTTGCAAGGCACTCATCACCTCCAGCTGTGTCTGGGGCTCGGCCTTCTTTCCATGCTGGCTTGGTGAAGCATTCTTCAGAGGGGAGGCCAACAGCCTGTGCCAGTTAACTGATTGTGTCTTCGTGAGTAAGTGATGCTCAACTACACTGGATCAGCGCAGTTCTGGGTGTGGATGCAGGGATTTACTGAGGACAGAAGACCTATCCTGGGAAGGCCTGGTGCATGAATGGCATAAAAGGGAAACAAAGAAGGAAGGCTTGCTTCAGTTTCTTCAGAAGAGCTCCAGGCCTCACCCGTACTTTGGATGTTGTCTTCCAGTGTAGGCCCTTTGGTGTCCTGATATAGGCCTGCCTGAGACACTATAGGCCTTTTTTTGGCTAGGTGCTTTGGATCTCTAGCCCATAGAAGGCCCTTTTCCACTTTTCACACCTGACTCTGCAGTATAAGCCAATCTTGTAAACCCTTATATATTTACATTTATACATATGTACTTGGTGGGGGAGTAACCAGGAATTGAACTCAGGGTCTCATGCTTGCCAGGCAGGCACTGTGCCACTGAGCTATATCCCCAGCCCTATTTGTATATCTTATATTAAACCTTTCTCTCGTGAGTACTGACTGATATACAGCCCTATTTCCATTTTGACATAAGATCCAAGTCAGAAGAAAAATATGTGTGGTTTGTTTCTAAACTAAAACATGAATAATTTTCCTTGGTCCAAAAACGGGGCTACTTTATAGATGAGAAAATTGAGGCTGGAGAGAAGTCATTTGCTAAGGTCTTAACTGTAAGTTAATAACAGAACTGAAGCAAGGATTTTACTCCTTCTTCTCAGAGCCCCACCACGTTTATTGATCCCTCCTGTTGGCCTGGCACCGGCCTGAACCTGGGGACCCAGGTTAACCCTAGACGGCAGTGCAAGGCAAACTGTGTAGCCTAGGGTGTCACCAAGCATTCCCTGGACTGCCACTGCCACGTGGGCCAGGCCCACAGGAGGGGTGATAGCGCGCTGGCCTCCCATGAGAATCTCTGCAATCCACGCTAAAATCTAAGTGCACAAGATTCTAAAAAAGCTCCTGTCTTGTCCCAATTAAAGCCTCTGTGTTTCTCCAAGTCTCCTTGCTTTGTAGAAGCTGAAAAACCCATGATGAAAGGTAGATAGGTCATGTTACAAAAGCTAGGGGCTGGTGTGGGGGTCAAAGGTCAAGAGTTGCCCCTGATTCTAGAATAGTGTTTTGGATAGTACATTCCTTAATTTAGCAAAAAACACACTGGCTGCATTCAGTGACTCCAGTTCAGGGAGAAGAACCTCTCTTGCACTCAAACTGAAAACGAGAAATAACCCAAAGTCACTTACAGTGAAATGGCAGCCCTTGAGGGGCCAGGAAATTGAGGCTGTAACTCAGAACTGCTGGGAAATTACACCCAGGCAATGTGGCTGGGCAGTAAAGAACTTCCTGGGTGGCCACTGAGACCTGCGCAAGTTGAGCCTTTCGGGGGGAACTCCATGCCAGGAAGAGGAGAGGAAGGGCACGCAGAGAAGGCCCAGCTAACGTTTGCTTGCCACAAGAGCGAACACACAGTTCTTCCACATCTCACCTCCATGGAGCTTTCTCGATAGCAGGGCCCTCACTCTGAGCTTTGGAGCCCCTCTGCGTCACTCCACCGAATGGTAACATAACTACTTGAGTACTCATCTGTCACAACCATTTTTGCTTCATCAGCACCCAGGAATGACCTGTTAATACAGAGGCCACAATTCTAAAGTACAACAGTATAGCCAGGGAGGATGCAAGCACTAAGCAGCTGAGAGTGGAAGGAGAAAAAAAATATAATGAATGGATTAAAAGGGGACAGCCCTTAGCCAGTCTGCACACAGCACTGCTTAGCCCTCACTGGCCTGAAGGCTTATCAGCCATGGGATAGCTGTCCCGGTCTAGTATTTCTGGGAATAGGGAGACACAACCTATAGCTGCTAAAACGTATGTTTGTATAATTATCAAAACAGAAGTGAACTAAGATTTTCCTGTTTCACATACCATGTCCCATTTCCAACTCAACTTCTCTCCTAGAAACCTACAGACTCAACTATAATCCCAAATTAAAAGCAAACTTCATCCTGGGTTCCGACCGGAAATACTTTCTAATTCCAAAACACATGCCTCCCGCAGAAAACTTGTCAACTTACTTTTTCCACGTCTAGATCAGCATCCTGCCTCTTCAGACAACTGTAGAAGAAAGAAAAAATAGTGAGACATCAAAAGAGAATCAAGCGCTCTGCTTGTAAACCACCCACGGAGTACCACCACAGAATTTCCATTTGTTACAGACAATCAATTTACCCACAAATTTTTCTTCTTCACACAATGGTTGCTAAGTTGCAGTTGCACAAACACCTGTCTGAAACTGTAAAGACTTGGCCCTGTACCACAAAGGAAGCCAGCATGAGATTTTAACTTTCAGGAGTCAAGAAAGATAAGGACAAAAGCCTTGAGTATGTACACACATGGAAACACACACACACACACACACACACACACACACACACACACTCTCTTTCTCTCTCTCTCTTCAGGGTCTATGCAAGACATCTATTGTGGGGGTACATTAAAAATGAATTTTCCAAGATCTTACTCCATTTTCCTCTGCCTTAAATGTTCCTCCAGCCCCCAGTCCATATCTGTTCTACCTCCTGTCTTAACATTAAGCCAGTTTCTTGAAACAGCCTCTGTACCCCATCAGCTACGGTTCCTGGTTTGCCAACTCACCAGCCTATGCCAACCTGCCTACGGACCTCCAGCCCCAGGATGTGCAGCACCTTATACTCACCCCTGGCAAGGATGAGGGCTGCTTCAGATGACAGCCGTGCCACTTCACACTAATCTTTAAAGTGCCCGGGGTGAGATGGCAGATTTCCAGTTTATTCACGGACTCTGTTTACAACCTGCCAATATCATAGTACCTCATTTATTCTTTGCAATTTTAGCTCATCTGAATAAAGTTTCAGTTTTAATAAAGAGAACAATAAAAATGGTTAAATGGAATTATGCTGACAATACTTGAGGGCAGAATGCACAGGGCTTTTGTTGAGGACTCTGAAGCAGAAAAAGGCACAAACAACTTATCGGAGACTGTTAAACCTTTTCAATGTGATTTTCATCATGTTTCTTCCTGGCCCACAGTTTAAAATACCCACAACATACATCACTATTCCCATCAAGACCATCCTCTGCCACATTTGCAAAAGAGAATTTTGCACTCTTTCAAAAGATGCACATTTACCAGTAACATGTTTATTCTGTTTAATCAAAGAGGACTCAGAATGAAGGAAATAAAAAATGACCATGGGGAAGAGAATTACACACTCACACATCACTCTCCACAGATGGGCATTCAAATCACGGGATCACCACAGCTGAGCAAGAGACCCGCCATGGAGGCTGAGGGGAGAGCATGCTAACCAGCGTGCCACTGCAGCTGTACCTCAGCAACACCGTCACCCATCTCTTCTGGCTCCCGACACTCACTAGCCGGCCCTAACCAAGGAGACATCGCAATATGCGCCCTCTCTTCCGGCTAACTTGCCGAGAATCCAGACACTGATATGATGGAGAACATGAAAGCTCTTTGTCCAAAAATTTTAACTTGCCTCCCTGTAATTACAGAAATTTGATACTATGAGAACCCCCAGTAGGAACACTGTTACAGAAGTTTCACTTGCATTCTTAAACGTCTCCATAGAGGTTTAGCAAAGTTGTTTTGATTTGAGGGTCATAACAAATTGTTTTCTACTGGCAAAGTGAAAGATTCCTTCATCGTGTATGGAAAGAGCACCTGGAGAACCATTACGCTTTTCCAGCATTGGAAGGAAACTTAGTATTCCTCTCCCACGCGCAAGGCACAACTGCAACCACACAGGATGCCCGAGTCACAACAGATTCTGAGGGGAACAGCCTGCGCTCTCTAGCCTTTAGCACCTGATGCCAAGAGGAACACGAGAGCCCTTTGCAGCCCCACCACACTAGTGCGCAGAGTGTTACCTACCCCTCCACATATCTGGTACCATCCCATTTCCTTCTCGGGCTTAGTAAACAGATGGAGTTAGCCAACAAAGACAATATACGTGTGCATCATTCTACAATCATAAACCAAAAGAATGATGCCACAGCTCTTCATTTCAAAGACTCCCAAGCAACATGGCAACAGGGCACCAGCTCCACTGCTGCAAAGAGGATAAAGATGGATAAAACAAGCTGCACCAAAGGAAAATTCAAATGGCAACCCCATTCAAAATGAAGAGTGGTGTCTGCCTTTAAAACCATGCTTATTTTTCTTCAATAAAAGCTGTGTCTGCTAGGCATAGTGGCCCATATCTGTAATCCCAGCCCTCTGGGAACCTGAGGCAGGAGGATCACAAATTCAAGCCCAGCCTAGACAACTTAATGACTTAGTGAGACCCTGTCTCAAAATAAAAAAGCACCGATTGTAAAGGCTTGGGGTTCAATCCCTGGTACTGCAGGGGGTAGGAAGGAAGCTGTGTTTCTAAAAAGTTGAGAATAAGTAATTTTGGCTACTAAATGCTTCAGTGAAAGAGATACTATTCATTTAAATGACATCCTTTTAAAAAATCATTTAAAAAGTTAAACACTTATCCTAATTTATTTGTACTCTAAACCTGATTTTTTAAATCAAATTTTTAGGGTCCCAAGGCTTAAGACAAGATAGGACCCCCTCACACCCCTGCGTGGGCATGTGTGTACAAATGTAGATACACACATGAATTACACGGGCACTGTGGCTGCCTGCAAATTCAGCTGTGGGCTTTGGAACAATAAAGCCTTTTCCACACCATCATTCCTCTTGCTAGAGTGGTGCTGATGTTCTGACAAATGTAACTGAAGCGACCTGGGTGCCGCAGTGCAAAAGCTGATCATAAATGCTGCAAATGTTTTGGTTGAGCTGCAGGAGTGGGAGCCAAAGGACAAGACCTGGACCAAAAACTAACTACGCCCAACGTTAGACCAGACCAAGCCTCCGTCCCCAGGGGACATGCAAACACTCTAAACATAAACCCGAGCAGCCCTCAGGTTGGAGCCCTTCCTTGGCAGAGCCGGCCCTCCAGCCCCCGCTGCTGCTTCCAAACGCCCTCAGCACATCAGCCCTGAACCTTACAGCAGGACAGTGCAGGCTGAGCATAACCAGGACGCGGGGAAAGGAGCACTGGTCACAGGTTCAGTGAATGGCAGGAGGCCTGGTGGTGCTCCAGAGAGGAGGTGGCTGAGAGGATGGGGGCAAGCTGCGGGAGAAATGTGAGAAACTGAGGCAGGGCCAGGTGTAAGAAGGTATCTGCCAGCTAAGAAGACAGCCAAGGTAACAGCACATACCTACTTCTATCTCAGAAGGGGTAGAAAAAGAAATGCAGCCCCAGAATATGCCTGGCTTTGGGCTGGGCACTGTCTTTCCAACCTCACCAACCCTGCTGGGTACATTCAATTTTCCTCTAATCAGCCTTCAGGGCTCAGCTCACACTCTCCTTTTCATTCTTGTTTTCCTTTGCTCACACTTCTCTGCACAACTAGCTTTCCTCCCTGCTGTGTTCTTACTGCACTTAATGCCAGGGCCGTTTCACCGCTTCCCCGATAGACTGTCAGCTGCTCAGTGGCCAGGAGGCCACTGAGCACAGGGCCTGACACATGCAGGGGAACCCTGCTGACAGACGACTGAAGGGATGGCAAGGGATGGTGACAGAGTAACTAATGAAGCCACACTGAATCCTGCATTACGAGGCCGTGTGTGTGTGTGTGTGTGTGTGTGTGTGTGTGTGTCACACACACTTAACCACGAGATGACCTTCCTCTTTAAATGTAGTCCTGGGTCTTTAGCTTTAAAATAATTGAGAGACCCAATTGGGAGATGCTGCTATTATTTTAATATTAACCAGTGATTCTTGTTATTCAAAAAATACATTCAGGAAACTGAAGTGCATTACATTAGAGTCATGACCACATTTCATATACGATACAGTAGACTAAAGGCTCATAAGGAATCCAAGAGCTAAATCATTGCTTGGGGTTTTTGTTTGTTTTTAAAATGGGAGCTAGGGCCAAGGATATAGCTCAGTGGCATAAGCGCCTGCCAGGCAAGTGCAAGGTCCTGAGTTCAACTCCCAGTACCAAAAAAAAAAAAAAAAAAAAAAAAGATATATTTAAAATAGGAGCTTGAGAGAAAACTCAGATCTGCTTTTCTCTTGTCACAGGATCTTCTCCATTCCAAATTCAACACTTTTACCACTTGTCACAGATTTAAAGTATTCACTGACCTGCAAGGAGACATCTACACATAGCTGGACATGGAACACGCCTCCACCTAGCCACGTGTGAATGGCTTCGTTCTGCTCCAGCGATCATTGCTCTGTTCAATCATAACTAAGTGGGAACCTCAGAACTGTGCGTGATGTGATGTCAGTGGCAACTGAGGATATAATGGTCACTGCACAGCAACTTCCCCATCAAGCCCGTCAGCAGGGACAAGGGTTCCTTCGGTTATTCTTAACTTAGGATCCAGAGCACAAAAAAGACCAGGCAGGGCCAGACTCTGCTATAATTCCAAAGAAGGCTGAGGCACATACTGAGTATACAGAGAAGCTCCTCAATGCTCTCTAGCGAAGGGGTGGCCCTGGCACCCTGCCTGCAGCCCAGGAACAGGCCCCTTTCACAGTGGGCTCCCGAGGCCTGCGCAGCTGCAGACAGACATGCAGTGTGTGGACCGTCCCTGCTCGAGTCACTACGATCCCTTGCATGCTCAACAGCTGGGTCAGCCCCAGAGAGAAGATCAATTCAGACAAGGCCCTTTGTTGTGGGTATTCCTGCACCCCACTTCCCCAGGAAAAATGTTATTTTCCCGTAGCCATTCATTCTAGGCTCAGACTAAATCATTTTTCTGTATGCCCAAACCTTCTAAAAAGGTTAAAGATGATGCCACCCTGGGGGCATCTTCAGCACATCTCACCAAGGACAAAGAGCGTGGTCTGACAGAATACAGTACAGGGCTGGGGAATGCCCTCCTGTCTCTGGCGCAAGGAGGGTGGGTGGCAAAGGGCCCTGCCAGTGCCACTTATTTTATATACCTTATATAAAATATTCACTTTGCCTCCTTAAAAAGGTAATACAGGACTGGGGATATAGCTCAGTGGCACAGCACCTGCCTGGCAAGCGCAAGGTCATAAGTT